CGGGGCGGGCCCGGGGGGCTGCGGCGGGCCCGGGGGCGCGCTCACCCGGCGCGCGGTCACGCTGCGGGTGCTCCTCAAAGATGCGCTACTGGAGCCCGGCGCCGGGGTGCTGTCCATCTACTACTTGGTGAGCGTCCCCTACCCCCCATCCCGTCCCGGCTGGGGCAGGAAGGGGAAACTGAGGCCCAGAGCTCTCCTCCCACCGGCCAAGCCCAGGTGTGGGGAGGGGAAATTGAAACAAGCATCCAGACCCAGCACGAACCCTTCTGGGCCGCAGGGCATCGTTTACCAAACAGCCCATTCCACAGAGGAGAAACTGAGGCTCGGAGAGGACACCCCTGCTTTCCTGGCTGTGTGACCTTACTCAGCCTCTCCATATCCTGGTTTCCTCATCTATAAAATGGGTTTTTATTTTTCCTGTCGCGGGGTTGTAGGAGGGTCAAAGGAATACAGCGCCCAGCAGGCAGCCTGCTACACTATGCTTTACACGTTTGCTGCTGTTTCCTTGGGCCTTGTGAGTGGGGGCAGTTCATGAATGGAGCACTTGCTGTGTGCCAGGCTGTGTGCTGTGTGTTAGGGACCAAGCAGGCCCTGTCCCTGCCCTTTGGGGGCTCACGGTCCAGTGAGCGGGTGGGCAGACACAGAGCTGGGCAGTTTTAATCCAGGCTGATGAGGACTGACTGTGGACATACAGGGACCGGGAGGCATGTAAGCTGGTCAGCTTCCTGGGAGGGATGCTGTGGGCAGAGGTGGGTGCCAAGCTCCGGGGAGCAGGGCGGGGGGGAGTCAGGGAGGGCTTCCTGGAGGTGGCTTGGTGGGTACCAGGGCCTGGGTGCAGCCAGGCTGCTGTTACTGCAGGGGAAGAAGTTCATGGGAGACCTACAGCCCGACGGGAGGATCGTGTGGCAGGAAACGGGACAGGTGTTCAACTCACCCAGCGCCTGGGCCACCCACTGCAAGAAGCTGGTGAACCCGGCCAAGAAGTCCGGCTGTGGCTGGGCCTCTGTCAAGTACAAGGGCCAGAAACTGGACAAGTACAAGGCGGCCTGGCTCCGGCGACACCAGCTGCACATTCCCACGGCTGCTGCCGATGAGGTGCGTCCCTCAGCCTCCTGAAGTGCTGTTGGATAAGGAGGACCCAGAGTGAGCACATTGGGGCTGGGGCCCTGTGGGATGATCAGGAGTTTGTCAGAGCGAGGCGAAGGGAGGAGTTTTCAGAGGGAGCCAAAGACCGCAGAGCCGCGGAGGTAGGAAGCCACACAGCGCTTGGGGAACCATGATCGGTGGATACAGCCTGAGGCTCACGTGTCTTAAGCAGCTGAGGGGACTGGAGACAGTGGCAGGGACCAGATTGGGGAGTTTCTAATGCTATGATAGTAATAACATCTTTGAATATCCACCAGCTGGTGAGCTTGGCCTAGGGTCGTCTCTGGGTGCTAATTCTCCTTCGTATGTAAACGAAGATGCTAACAGTATCCGTATGTATCATCTATGTATATCTTGCTGGCAGATCAGAAATCTGCAGGGCCGATGTCAGGCTGGAAACAGGCGGGGAGGACTTGGGCTTTTTCCCTGAGGTGGGTGGGAGCCCAGGAAGGCAGAGAGGATGGGCAGACCTGACTCAGGTGCCCACACGCGCCCCCTGGTGGCCGCCGTCTGGCACAAAGACTGGGGGGTGGCCCCGGTGAAAGTTGGGGACCAGGATGCAGGTGACAGAACCTGGTCCGGGCAGGAGATGATGGGGTGGACCGGGCAGACAATTGATGGATCAAGAAGCGGGCAAGTTTTGGCTGATTTTGAAAGTGGATCTCACCGGATTTGCGGTTGCATCAGATAGATGTTGGTGTTAAGAGATGTTTTGTTCCGAGCAAGTGGATGGATGAGGCTGCCGTGGGGATTGGGGAGGATTGGGGGACAGTCAGGTGCAGCGTGGTTATAGCGCTGAGTGGAGGTGCCTGGGAGCACCCCTGCCCCCCCGCCCCGCCGAGACTTCCAGGATCAGCCGGACGCTGAGTCTGGAGCTCAGAGGAGGCTTGGGCTGGAGATAAGACTGTGGGGGTGGTGAGGCCAGAGACAGGGTTCCAGTCCCAACAGTGGGGGAGACTGCCCCGGAGGGGAGCAGGTAGGGAGAGAAGAAATTTCCCGAGGACCCAGCCTGCACACCGGGGAGGGGTGGGAGGCGGAGGGGACTGGGGAGATGGGAGGGAAGCTGGGTCCCTGGGGCGCTCCCAGAAGGAGGAGCCAGGACCAGCCAGACCCTGCGGCGAGGAGGAAGAGTACAGAGACCATGTGCCTGTTGGGTTTTGGACACTGAGAGGTCACCCCAGCAGGGGCAGTTGAGGGCAGATCAGGAGAGATTATTGAGAGAATCTGGGAAAATGATCCCTATAAGCACTTGCTCGCTCAGTGAATGGATCGACAGGAGGTGTGCTAATCGCCTTGCAGGCATTGTTTAATTTCACCCTGATGCTGTCCCTATGCGCTGGAGGTCATTAGCCCCTTTTGACAGATGAGGAGAACAGAGCTCAGAGAGGTTAGGGCGCTTGCTAGAAGCTGCACAGCTTGTAAAAGCGGAGGAGAGGTTTGAAACTCCGCCCGGCAGCTGCTGGAAGGTGCTCACATCTGAGCGGCACCAGGACCTCAGGCCGCCTGTGCTCACTCGCTCCCTCTAGTGGGCCCCTGGGGCAATGGCAGGACCCTAAGGCCAGCTGAAGGTCTGAGTGGAACTTGGTGAGGAGGGTGGGTGGCGCCCAGCTGAGGGTCCTGCCACCCGCCCCGCCCCGCTCCCACCAGAGCCCGGCCAGTGAAGGGGAGGAGGAGGAGCTGTTGATGGAGGAAGAAGAGGAGGAGGTTCTGCCAGGGGTCTCCACTGAGGACAAGAGTCGGAGACCACCTGCCAAGGGACCCTTGGAGCCTGTGCACCCAGGTGAGAGGCTTAGAGGCGAGCAGGAGGCGGGCAGAACTCGGGTGGGGGGGTGGCGGGGGGGGGGGGGGGCAGATCTTGCGTTTTTCTCAGCACTCCCAACATGCCTGGTGGACTTCCTAGTTCTACTGCCTAATGTCTTTCTCGTGGCCTGACTTCTTTTTTTTTTTTTTTTTTAATGTTTATTTATTTATTTTAAGAGAGAGAGAGAGATCGTGAGCAGGGGAGGGGTGGGGGGGAACAATCCCAAGCAGGCTCTGTGCAGTCAGTGCAGAGCCTGAGTCAGGGCTCAACCCACAAACACTGAGATCATGACCTGAGCCGCAATCAAGAGTCTGGTGCTCAACGGTCTGAGCCCCCCCCAGCGCCCCCCACCCCCCTGCCTGGCTTCTTAAGCTCTAATGCTGGATTTCTTGGTCCCATGGCCCGATTTCTTCACTATGCTGCCTGATCTCCACGCTCCCCTGTAGGATTTCGCTGCCTCAGTGCCTGGTTCCTTTGGCCCCCTGCCTGGTTTCCTGGGGTCCTTCCCTGATTTCCTAAGCCCTTCCTCTGGTATTTTAATCTCCTTTTTTCCAGTTTGTTAACCTGCCACCTGATCTCTCCGTTCTGGGGCCTGATTTTTAGAGCTGCCTCTGGAGGTTTTTCCCTGGGCCGCCTTGTCCACTTCTGGGCTGGGAGGGATCGAGGCTGCCTTTTCCCCCCTCGTCCGCCCCACAGAGGCCGTGCCCGCCGGGAAGCGGGTGGAAAACAAGATCCGGGTGCCCGTGCGGTATTGCATGCTGGGCAGTCGAGACTCGGCCAGGTCAGACACACCCTGCGCCCGCCACACCCCCGCCCCCAGGTTTCACTGGCTGGGGGGGGGGGGGGGGGACACAAGGCCTCACACCCTCAGCGCTGGCTCTGGGGGCGGGGGGAGCTAGCTCAGGGCCGAATTCCTGAAGCTGTGGGACCCTCTGGCTCCTACAGGAACCCCCACACCCTGGTGGAGGTAACATCCTTCGCTGCCATCAACAAGTTCCAGCCGTTCAACGTGGCCATCTCCAGCAACGTGCTGTTCCTGCTGGTGTGTGCCCAGCCGTCACCTTGTCCCTTGAGGGCCAAGGGCCAGACCTGGGCAGGTGGCTGGGGCACCTGGAAGGGGTCCCTGGGAGGTTGGCTCTTAGGAGGGCAGGGGCCTTTTCTGTTTTGTTCACTGCCGCTAAACAGTAGGCACTCAATCAGTGGACGAAGGAGGAGGCCGATGGGGTGGTCCCGGCACATTGCAAGGGCTCTGGCCCCGAGGAGAGGCGCTTGGGGCTGGGCCGCAGCCTGAGCCGCTCTTCTGGTGTCCGTCCCCTCCCCAGGACTTCCACAGCCACCTGACTCGAAGCGAGGTCGTGGGGTACCTGGGGGGGCCGCTGGGACATCAACAGCCAGAGTGGGTATTTGGGGCCAGGTGGGCGGGGGGGGGGGTGTCTGGGGCCGGGGTTGATGTCTACGCCTTCTCTTCGCCTCTGCACAGTGCTCACGGTGCTGAGAGCCTTCCCCTGTCGGAGCCGGCTGGGGGACGCGGATATGGCGGCCACCATGGAAGAGGAGGTGAGGGGGTGCGGGGAGTCAGGGCGTTGTAGGGAGGGCTCGTGTGGACACACGGCTGTCCCGGTGGCTAGTAGTGCAAAAACGAGTGTGCGGAAGAGTATGTGTGACCGCCCGCCCCGTGCCTGTGACCCTGTCCGTGGTCCTGCTTCCTCTGCACAGGTGGCCCGCCCTCTTTACCCCGAGCCTCGATTTCCAGGCCGTGCCTGGCACGTAGTAAGAGCCCAGTGAATATTAGCTGCCATTCTCAATAGCGGTGTCATAGTGGTGCTTTGTATGTGCCTGGCGCTGTGCAACGTGCACCACACCCACCTTCTGGCACGGGCAGTGACCCATGGGGACAGGCGACTGCCGCACGTCTCTCGGCCCACCTCTTTCTTGCTCCTTACGCCAGCACTTGCCTCTGCTTGCTGAAGGCATCCAGAAATGCCTGCTCCTGCCCAAGTGCACACACACATCCTCCTATCTGTTTAACTGTTTGAGTGCCGCTGCGAGCCAGGAATTGGCGATGCGGCCTGCCTAAAATAAACGTTTGCCTTTGCTTTGTGACGGGTGCATCTTTTTATGTATTTGTTGACTGTTCCCCCTCCCCTGGCCTCCTGGAGGGTGGGGGCGGGCTCTGTCTTGGTGCTGCTGTGTCCCCAGGCCGGGCACACGGCAGGCACATATTAAGTGCTGGCCTCCAATGGGGATGGGATGCGGCAGGCGCGTGGCGGCTGGGAGGGGTGAGCGCGCACGAGGGCTGGGGGAGCCCCCGGCTCTACCGCAGCCTCGCCTGTGCCCCCAGATCTACCAGAGCCTGCTCCTGCGGGGCCTGTCCCTGGTGGGCTGGTACCACAGCCACCCGCACAGCCCCGCGCTCCCGTCGCTGCAGGACATCGACTCGCAGATGGACTACCAGCTGCGGCTGCAGGGCTCCAGCAACGGCTTCCAGCCCTGCCTCGCCCTGCTCTGCGGTAAGGCCTGGGGCGCGCGGGTGCGCATGCGTGCGTCCTGCGCGTGCGTCCGTGCGCGCGCGCGCGCGCGGCGCTTCGGGGCCGCCGACCCCTCCAGGCCGTCGCCACTCTCGCTGTCCTCCCGCAGCCCCTTACTACTCTGGCAACCCGGGCCCCGAGTCTAAGATCTCCCCCTTCTGGGTGATGCCGCCCCCCGAGGTAGGCGGGGCTGTGGGGGGAGGGCAGGGTCGCGGCGCTGCGGGCCAGGAGGGGCCTGTCGATGGTCCGTGGCCAGGACTCTGGTTCTGGGCTCATTTAGGGGAGTGGGGACCCCCGTTTCCCCCCGTGAAACGGGACCATAACCGTCCCGCTGTCCCGGGCTCCCGAGAGGGCCTGGATGTTGAAAAGGCGCGGGCATCACGTGGAGCCCTTGATACTAACACGACCTCCCTCCCCAACTCTGCCGAGTGCCATTCCCCACATCTGTCCCGGGGTCAGAAATCGGGCTTGGGAAGCCATTCCCGGGTGCGTGGCTCGCTTGGCGGCCTCTCTTGCTGGGGGCAGGGCCACGCCGCCTCCGGAGTCGCGCCGCAGCCTTCCGTGGAGGACCCACGTGGCTCTGAACCTGGTCGCAGTGTGATTCTCTGACTGCTGGCCCAGGACGCATCCCCTCGTGGGATCGGAGGCTGGGCGTGACTGGCTCGTGTCCCTGCCAGCAAAGGCCCAGTGACTACGGCATCCCCATGGACGTGGAGATGGCCTACGTCCAGGACAACTTCCTGACTAATGACATCCTTCATGAGATGGTGAGCTCACTCCCGGGTGGGGCGCACAGGGCCCCTGAGAGCGGCGGGTGGGGCTGGTCGGTGGCGAGACTGCAGGACTCAGGGTGGCTGGATGCGCCACGTCGGGGCATAGGCCAGACTCCTCGTCCGGGGCTGAAAATCACCTGTGGCTTTAGGCTCAAGTCCCTGATCCTTGCCCACCTGCTCCCCCCACCTGGCCTTGCTGTTCTGGAAGTTACCGGAGGTGCCCCCGCCTCGGGCCTCTGCACCTGCACTGATTCTCCAAATGGAGGCACGTGAGGGGGCTTGAGGTGGTCCCCCAGCTGTTTAGTGTCGATGTTCCAGGTGGCGTTTGAAAAAAGCTAGTTGGTCACACCTGTGGGATCCCGGATACTGTTGTTTGGATGAGGCTGCGCAAGGGGTCCGTGTCAGGCTTATGCGACACTCGGAGCCCCTCCCTCTCACACACTCAGTGTGCCTTCCTCTGCCTGGGGCTACTTCGGTGCCCCTCCAGGGGCCTCCTGCTGAGCTCCCTGGTGGCACTCCTCAGTGGGTGGTCTCCCTTGGGGTCCTGGGCGCCTATGTGCCATATGGGACTGAAGCCCCACAGGCTGCCCACCGCTGTATCCCCGGCACCTGGCACGGGTGGGAGGGCAGGAGCGAGGAGTCCCATCGGCCCCCTGTCCCCCAGATGCTGCTGGTGGAATTCTACAAGGGTGCCCCTGACCTCGTGAGGTTCCAGGAGCCCTGGAGCCAGGAGCACACGTACCTCGACAAGCTGAAGGTAAGACTCGTGTCCCCTGTCTCGTGCAGACTCCGTAGGAAGACAATGTGGGGGGAGCCCGCGAGAATCTATCCGCGGGCAGCCTGAGAAACCGTGTCCTGAGTTCCGTGTTATTTCAGCTGGGTGTCAACGCTGCCAACAGCCTTGTTGGGTCACAGCTGGGTGGTGACGGTGACGGGGAGAGCTATTCAAGAGCAGCTAGAAAGGGGAGAACCCACAGACCCTGGGCCGTGGGGATGGAGAAGCCACACTGGGCCCTATGTCACGGCGTGGGCGCCCACCCGAGCGCACAAGGGGCCGGGGTCCGATTCAGAGCCTCAAGCGCCGGCAGAGCTGAGGCGAGCAGAGGTCTCTCCAGCTCGCCGGCCCTGCAGCCAGTGGGACGCTGCGGGGCTCGGCGGCCTCGGGGGTGTCTGACTGGCTTCCTGCCTTGTAGAGAAATGCAGTTTTGCACGTTTGCTTGTTTTGCTCAAACTTCAAGAGTGACCAGAGCTTCCGGCTGCCACGGGTCACTTCCACCCCGTTGCTGGGCTGGTGGGGCGGGGGGGCAGCCCCCGGCGCAGAGGGTGTGAGAGCCTAGGCAGGAGGCAGCTAGGAAGAATGTAGGATTTGGAGTGTGCAGATAGTCCTCTCCCCAAACCCAGAACATTCCGCGTGAGCAGGCCTCCTCATTTAAACGTAAAACTTTGTCTTGGGGACGCTACCGTGTGAGTCGGTTAGGAGGGCCTCTGCCCGGATGGAGGGGAGCCGGTGAGGCCAGGACCACCGGGCACAGCCCTGAGGCACCAGCCCTGCTCCTTTCAGATCTCCCTGGCCAGCAGGACACCCAAGGACCAGGGCCTGTGCCACGTGCTGGAGCAGGTTTACAGCCTTCTTAAACAAGGGAGCTGAGGCCCCGCCTGCCAGGGCCTGGGGGGGCCTCTTGGTCAGACACTGATCCCCCCCACCGTGGTTTGGGCTGAGGGGGACTGGGACCAGGGGGGGTTCTCTTGGGGGCTGTGCCGCTCTGTTCCTGTGCAACTTAGCTGTGCGGTGGTTGGGGCACGGATAATAAAAGACAGAAGCAAATAGCCTGGGTGTGTGTCTCACCCTGGGGGGAGGGGGAGCCCCCTGCACTCGTCCCTGGGCACATAGGCTGCTGTCTGGGCAGCGGTACAGGAGGGGACGCTCCGAGCGCCCATGTTGCGGGCTTCCTGGGGCTGCAGGGACATCTGGAGGACGTGATGCCTGTGCTGGTGGCTGGGCAAATGACTTTTCCCCCGGCTCCCCTGGACACTCACAGAGAGCCAGGGAGGAAGACCCACCCTGCACCACACCACGCAAGAGGCTGTAGAAAGAGACATTTAATACTTAAAAAAAAAAAATCAGGATTACATTTCGATCTGCCGATTGTGGCCCAGGTTCCACTGCTCATGTCTGCTGGGAGGTCTGTGCTTCCCCCATGTAATGGCAATGAGGGGGCCTCAGAGCCAGGTGTCCCTGGGGCCTTTGCAAGGTCATCAGAGGAGGGGAATGTGATCCAGTCCCGAGGTCCCCTAGTTGCGCCAATTTTTGGGTTAGGCAAGAGAGGAAGTAGCTGCGGGGCTCGGCTCTGTTGGTCAGGGCGGCTGCCTGCCTTGGTCTGTCTGTAGGAAGATGGCTGGGGCCGCTGTCAGCAGTGGGGACAGTGGCTGGCTTGGGATTGGGGAGGCGCCTGTGACCCTCCTCAGGGTGGTCCCAGGGGTCTGGGACCACCTGCAGGACAGAGGCCACAAGACTCCTGTGGTCCCGTCTGTGGTGCACACGTGTGCCGTGGGCACGGCTGGTGGTGGTGGTTTGTGCCAGAGGACCGTCCGGTGTGCTTATCTGGGGCGGGGCACCCTACACTTGGGAGGCGAGGAGGGGGTGCGGGGCAGGGTGGAGGGCACTGGAGGGGGGAGACGACGGCACCTCAGAGGCTGCTCAGAGAGGGCCGGCCTTAGGGGAACCCTGAGGACCCCAGGCTCATCTCTCCCCAGGGAGGTGGCATCCACGGGTGTGCCAGGGCCTGGGGAGCCCTGGAGTTGGGGCTGGGAAGGAGTGTTGTGGGTGAATTGAAAAGCAGGGTGGTGAGTGTCGGCCTGGGGTCCTGCTCAGAACCCCCATCTCCTCCAGGGCAGGCCGGGGGGGGGGGGGGGAGGGGTGTGTGTGTGTGTGTGTGCACGCGCGTGTGAGAGTGAGGGGGCCCACCTGGAGTTACCCGCTCCTGGAGGCGTGGGAGGAAGTTAGTGTTTCTAAGAGCACCTTAGTGTTCGCCCCCTCGGGGCGCGGGGTCGGGGAGCGAAAATACTGCCCGGCCCCCAGACTGCCGCCCGGAGCGGGGACCGCGGGGTGGGGGCGGGGGGGCCCTCGTGGAAGCGGGCCCCTCCCCGACATCCAGCCCTGCTGCCCCAGCGAGGCCCGCCTTCCCCCACGGGGAGCGCCTGCAGGCGCCGCCCCGGCTGCAGAAGGCCGACGTGGACGGGGCCGACGCGGTCACTGAGGCAGGGGCACCAGCACCTCCACGTAGCTGAGGGGGAAGAAGCCCGACTGGCCGTGGAGCATGCCCTCGTACCAGTTCTCGTCGATCTGGTTGGTCAGCGTGATGACGTCACCCTCGTGGAAGCCCAGCTCCCCAGCGTTCTCGGGCTCGAAGTCGTACAGAGCCTTGCAGCTCGGCTGGTCCAGTGGGGCTGGGGGTGGGGGCTTGGCTCAGACCGCTGGCTCCTCTCCCTGCCCCCCCCCCACCCCCCGGGCTCCTGTCCCCGGAAGGGCAGCTGCTCCTTCCTCCGGCCCGCCCAGCTTTGTCAGGCAGAACCAGGGGCGAGGGATGGGAATGGGCTCCATGAGTGGTCACCAAAACGCTCCTGGGAAGAGCTAGGGCTGCCCGGGGGCATCGGGGTGACAGAATGACCGTGCCACTCAGAGGGCCCGGAGCCTGCTGGACACTCACGCCGATGGGGGGGGGGGTGCCCCCCGGCCCCCGGGCCGAGGTCCCCCCCCCCCCCCCGCCCGAGACGGGCCGAGAGGACTGGCAGCAGGGGTGTCCACTCCTACCAGAGGAGGGGAGGAGGGAGGCCCTCCTGAAACGGACCAGCAGGCGGGAAGCATGTAAGTGCGGGGCGCGCCTGCGGGACACTCACGCATGCTCCTGCTGGGGGTCCGGATGGGCTTCTCAGAAGATCGGAAGGAAGACGAAGCTGCTCACACACAAAGCACAGAGGGGGTTGAAGACCCTGGGCGGGGCCTGGCTCTGCGGTTTGGGGGGGGGCAGCCGGCTGGGGGGCGGCCCCCTCCCCGCTCCTTACCTGTGATCTTGGGGGCCGTGGCACAGGGGAAGCCCCCGTTGGACTGCTCGGGCTCCCCAAGGTCGAAGGGCTCCCGGGGCTTGGGCTTGTACTCCCGCTTGGGGCGAGAGGAGGCTTCCCGCATCCTGCGTGCAGGGAGGAGAGCGGGGAGTGGCCGGCGGCCGAATCCCGTGTACGCCACGATGAAGGGACGCCTCCGCCTCCCGCCTTTTGTACTGCTGCCCCCCGGGGCCAGGCCTGGGCGCAGAGGCCCGATGGGTCTAACCACAAGGCCCCCCGGGTCGGTCAGCCACCAACCACCCCCCCCCCCACCCCGGCTTGGGCCCTTCTCAGAGGCTGCCGGCTGGCCAGGTCCTGTCAGACCTGAAGTCCCTTAGCATGCCCACCCTGCCTGGGAACATGGCTGCACGAGGCTCGCCTTGTCAGGCACTGGACTATGGACTCTCGGGAGACAGGAGCCCTGCCTGCCACCCCCCCCCACCCCGTCCGAGGCCACTCCAGCCCTCCCCTCTGACGAGCGGGACAAGCCCATCAGGTCTTTCTCCTGGAACCTCCACCCTGAGTGCAGCCTCCTAGAAGCTGGTGGCGGTGTCCCGGGTGCCCTGAAAGACCGGCCCAAAGCAGGACGGGGCTCACCTTCGCTTGAGCTTGTCGGCCAGCTCGTCCAGGATCTGCACGGCCTGCCGGTGGTAGTCCAGCTGGGCATCCACCAGCGCAGAGAGCTGGCTCACCTGCTCGATCTGCAAGCCACCGCTGCTGAAGGGGAGGCTCTCCCTGTGACCCCTCCCCCCAAGGCCGCCTCTAAAGGGAGCCTCTCCAGAACGCTCCTGGCACAGGGGCCCGGCCCTCTCCCCATCTGCCTGACCCTACTGCTGCCCGTGGAGGTGCCTAGAAAGCTTTAGGGGGCTTGAAGGGGAGGGTGGCTGCCCCCTTAGGTCCCGGAGGCTCCACCTGGGCGCTGAACCCGCTGCGGGCGGGGCACACGTGACCCCGCCCACCGGCCCCGCCTTCCGGGGTTCCCCCCCCGCCCCCCCGCAGTGGGGCCCAGACGTACGTCCGTCTCCAGGAGGTTGTGCATGCTGGTCTCCGCCACCTCCTTGGACTCTTCAAACTTCTCCAGGGCCTGGCGCAGCTCCTCGTCGGGGATCCTGCCCTGCCGCTTCTTCTTGTAGTCGAAGTCCAGGCGGCGGCCCTCCAGCTTCTTCAGGTGGTGCTGGGGTGGGGGGTTGTGCGTGTGAACTGGGGAGCCACACTGGGCAGGGCGCGGCGGGGGTGGGGGGGAGGAGGGACGCGGGCAGCACCTGGATCTCCTTCAGGTCTTTGTCGCACAGATTCTGCAAGGGGTCGATGAAATTCTGCTTGACTTCTATGTCCAGGGAATCTTTCACCTCCGCCAGGCGCTTCATGGACTCCCCTGCATCCAGCAGGGCGTCGCCTGCGGCAGAACCCGGAATGGGGAAGAAACTGTCACAGGAGGCCGCGGCCTAGGGTCCCAAGACACCCCAACTTCTAAACTATCCTCCCGCCCCGGGGCCCAGATGCCAGAATTCAGGACCCAACAAGGGACCCTAGGGTCTGATCCTGAGCCCCAGCAGCCGGGAGCTGGCGAGGACGGGTGTCAAACAAGCCCCCACTGCAAGGACCAGCTTCCCCAGAATCCGCTGCGGCTGGAGGGCAGGCCTGCCAGTGGCTGTGGCCCTACAGCCAACACTCCGATCCTCGCTCGTCCCCACGGAAAACTCTGCAGCGGCAGGGAAGTGGCCTCCCGCCATCCGGTGCCAGGCGCCCCGGCCTCCCGCAGCCCTCACCGAAGTTGGACTCGCCGCCCAGCTCCTTGCCGTGGCGGATCATGCACTCGCCCAGCAGGCCCTCTGACTGCGGGTAGCCAGGGTTCTTCACCTGCCCGCGGATCTTGGACACCGTGTTGAGCATCGTCAGCTTGGCCCGTGAGGCTGGAACACAACAGGCTGGGTAGGCACGCGGCCAGTCTCGCTCACGAAGCCTGGAGGCCTGCACTTGACCGGCCACCGGCTGCTCCTCTCTGGGTTCCTCCTCTCCCCAGCACCCTTCTTTCTAAAGCACTGCCCTGGCCCAAGGGACCTCGGTTCCTATGCCTGCTGACAGCCAGGCTCTGCGAAGAAGCTCCTGCACAGACCTCCCCTTCTCTGCTCACCTCAGCCACAAAGGAGCCCTGGCGGGAGGCAGGAGGTGACCAGCTCCTCTGGGCCCCCCCCCCCCTCGTCCTGCGGCCCAGCTGTCATCAAGAAGCTGCCTTCCCTGGCCCGGGAGTAGCACCTCAGAGAAGGCGTGGGGGGCAGGCGCAGGTGCCCCAGACACAGCCCTCCGCTGGGGTGGGGGGAAGGGAGCCACGCACTTCCCTCCGCCTGCTCCAGGCTGTCCGTGGCACAGGCCTTGAACGGACGTGCCTGGTGTCGCTGTGCGCGTCCCACACCCATCACCTCCTGCTATGGGAACCGGCACTTGGATTGCCCTCAGGGAAAGGCCCCTGTCTCCCTCTCGGACTAGGGAACCCCACCTCATGCTCCAAGGGTGGGCGGGTGGCTGGGGCCTGGCGAATGGGTGGGCAACCGATTCCAACTGGTCTAGTGAGCTGGTTATGTGGAAAAGACGCTCTTTTCTGCTGGGACTGTCAGCCGTAAGGGTGATTTAAGGCTAGGACCGCCACGCAGAATGAGAGCTGCCGGATGAAGTGGACAGAAGTGCAGGACTGAGGACATCCCTTGGACCCTTGGGATCCAGCCACA